GTACTACGCCCACTGAAAAACACCACTTGTCACGGTACGCACGCGTTGATATTTTTACGAGGCGTGCGCATATCGAGGAACTCGGGTCCCGGCCAATGGTTTTCGGCTTCTCAGCTTTTTCGTCCTCCGACGACGGCTCTAGTCTATTTCGGGAGCGACACGCACACGCGTAGCGGTGAGCAGGCTGGCATCGATATACGCCGCGCTTCATAATTCAAACCCTTTCTAGCCTGCTGTGCGCGCGATACGTCGACGACGACGCCCTTCGGCCGGCTTTACGATTCGCGGTGCGCTAGCAAAAGGCGCCTCGTCTCGCGTCAGTCTCGCGGCAGTCTCGCGGTGTTTTCAGCATTGTGCCGACACACGGACACACAATGGCACTCGGCGTCGCCCAGCCCATGAATTATATTACGCTTGTCGGGCTTTGCGCCGCGGCATTTTCCGCGCTGCCGAGGAATGTTTGCCGTTTTCTTATTGCTCTCCAGCGCGAGTTTCAATGGCTGCCTCGATTCAATGGCAATGCCTCGATTTGTTCAGCGAATAACAGAGTAGGCGAGCTCGATGCAAATAGAGGGCACGAAATCCCGACGTAATTAAAGCGCGCGAATGCGATCACGAGAAATTGAATGCTGAAAGGCAGGAAAGAAGAAGCGGCGCGCGTGCAGATAGCGATTCGACCGAGCATCGAGCGTCTCTCCGGGCCGAGCGCTATCTCAAGGCGCAATCAGCATTGTCTGTTTCTCGCGCCCTCTGCCACGGCCAATCTTATATTCCCGCGCGGAGAGCCTCGAGAAAACAATTTAGTTCAATCAACATTTCTAGGCAGCAGTGTCTTCGGCTCCGCGCGGCACTGTCTAATTAAAGTCTCTGGACATAAACTCGGGTTATCTCGCCGAGCGTATCTCTCTGTGTGTCCCCCAAGACTTAATCCGAGTGCGTTGCAGCGAATCCCGCTGCTGTCGCGCGAGTCGATGCCACTTGGTTGAGCCATCGTCCAAACGTTGACGTTTGCTCGGGCGGCGGCAATCTTGCTATTATTCAGCTGCGCAAATTAGGCCGTGCAAAGTTGGAAAAAAATGAGCAAGCTCGAGAAGCGGGAGGCGATGACGAGAAAAGGAGAGAGAGAGAGAGAGAGAGACTCGGGGAGTCTCATTTCCTGTCTGCGGGGGTCCCGCAGGGGATACATAATTAGCTAGCTTCGGCTTGTTCGCCCTGAGATACAGAGCGAGCGATCGCGCGGGGACGACGGACCGTTTTCTCCCGGCTTACGCACGACTCGCGCGCTCTGCGAATGTCTGTTGCGGACATGCAAATCACGAGTCGCAGGGATTCGATTGACGGCCAGTCGTCCTGCTCGTCAGCCTTCGCGCCTGAACTGAGATTGAGCTTGCGTCACGCGATTAGTCGGCACGCGTATGCATGGAAATCCAGACGGCGCTACGACGATTAGGCTGCGCAAAGGCAATCCGCGAGCGAAAAGTCGCGCGAAACTCATCAGCGAGCTCGTCTTTGCCGTCGTACGTATACTTTGGACTTTGGAGGGTCGCTCGGAGCAAAGCGAAGAAGAAGGCTGCTGCAGCAGTCGAGGCAAATAACAAATGAGTCCGTTGTTCCAACCTCTTTCGGGCTCGCGTCGACTCTGATAGACGATTGCGTATGGGCGCTCGTATCAATCGGAAGGTCGTCCACTCCCAGCCCCACTCGGTCCACTCATAAACGACTCGTGATAAATGACTCTCTCGCGCTCTCGGCGCTTCGAGATTAATTTACTTCCGCCTGTCGAGGCTTTTTCATTCTTTTGGCCGATCGTTGCCGATGCGCTGCTCTCTCCGCGGGCCAAGCCGTCGCTCGCGATGATTCACGAATAGAGAGCGAATTTCAACGGGCGCGCACGTCCGGATCCCGGCCTGCGAGGCCAGCGGGCTCCATTCCGTATTGATTCCCGATCTGGCGAAACGTCTTATTCGCCGCGGAATGCGTGCAATCCGCTGATTGGATGCCCGAGAAGAGAACGGCTGACTGCCGCTTTCCCTCGCTCTCCTTTTCTTTCCCCCGGAGCAAACTTTGATAAATGTTTGGCGCAAGCTCGATATACCGTCGCTGATATCCGTAAGCATATCTCCAGGGACTTGTACAAATGTAGTAGTGAGCCAGCGAAATATCATTCCTATTGGGCCTAATTCGATTTGGGCGTCGGTCTATCAAAGGTCGCCGTAGTCGGGAATGAGACGTCGACGAGGGACGCGATCGCTCTCGATGTTTTTCATTAACCGCGCACACGTCGGATACGTATGGAGGCGTGGGAGAGGAATAGAGCCGCCGCTGGCGCTGCGCACTGCTTTCGTGCCGTCTGTCTTCTGAAACCGTGCCCGTGCAGGCCGCGGCTTCGCGAATCGACCGATCAGCGGACACCTGGACACGTCGATGGGCGCTCCCGTCTTGCGCGCGACACAGCCGGCGCGGCGTCGCGGATAAACTCTCGAGCGCTGGGATTTGGCGCGCGGCGCCGGCGACTGTACGCGCATCGGTGACATACCTCGCGAGAGCGCGACAAAAGCATATCGGGAGGGTGCTGCTTTGTTCTCGTCGAAATTACAACTGTTGTCGTCGTTATGCCGATGCTATGCCGGCGATGCTTTTGACTTTCCTCGGCAGTGGGGAATGATCCGCGGCGCTTTATTGTCCGTGATCAGCGTGCCGCTCTTCGCGTATCTCTATAATCAAACTAATATCTGGCTTGCGCTCTGGAATGACAACGAGCAGCCGCCATTCGCCTGAGTTTACGCGTTGAGCGGCCGATTTGGTGGTATTACTGGGAAACTTAGAATTAGATCGACAGGCCCTGACAGTCGATCGAGCGGTTTGCCGAAGACGATTGTTGCTGCAGTCGTGGAGGCTACAAGGCGGTACTCGTAGATCGACAGCTTCTACTCCCTGCAAAAGTCGATGAACAGTTGAACGTCAAAGTGAAACGAGGGCGCCGCGACGTCGAGCGTGCAATACTCGACTAATTACGAATTTAATAACCCACCTTCTTGCATATATACAGTGCGCGTCCTTGGGTTATATTGCAACGTGGTGCTCGACAGCGAATCGAATCTGCACGCCACTCGCTGTGCTTTGCCTCTCGCAGTAGCAACGGAACGGAAGGAGGCTTTTCTCTGGTCTGTGAACATTGCTGAAACGCTAATAAATGGATGGCAGAGCGCGGCGCAAAGGAAAGCTGTATAATTACAGAAACTCAACGAGAAAATTAATTAAAAGGGACAATCTTCTTTCCGCCTTGATTGACTGCTATTACTAATTAAAATGTAATCAACGGAGGCCAAACCGAGTTAGAGAGCGGGAGAGAGAGAGAGAGAGAGCCACTCGAGCGGCTTGTCGCCCAAATCAAACACTTTCTTAATTGACGGCCTCGATCGTGAACGAACGAGCGACAATATCGCGGTCGTAAATGAAATTTGTCTTGGCGAAACTGCGCGCGCGAAACTTGCGCGCTTAATCGATGCCGATATTGCTGCCGTCGCCGTCGCCGCCGCCGCTGCCGCCGCGTGTACACGTTGAAGGAAAGAATGTTTCGTCGTTATATAGACTCACGGACCGAGAGCTTGAGCGTTTCGCCGCTCGCTCGAGCACGTACTGAATTTAATTCCCGAACCTAAAGTATTTTGTTTGGCAACTATTAAATTGGGATGAATGTTCTCTCGCGCCAAGAGTTACGATGGTAGGCTGTCAAAATACTACGTGTTCCGATGTTATTCAGATAAGCGATGAACGAGCCAATCGGCCGACGATGATTCATCGAAGCGAGCTGCCGAAGGAACGTTTCGAACGAAGGGTAGGCCGAAGCAGCGACTAAAATATGAAAACGAAATTAGAAAACTAGAGACGGGAGCGGAAGGACAGTAGGCGGCAGGAGGGTCGCTTGGCGAAAAGGCGAAAAACGCGCGGCCACAAGCGGAGAGAGAGAGAGAGAGAGAGAGAGAGAGAGAGAGAGAGAGAGAGAGAGAGAGAGAGAGAGAGAGAGAGAGAGAGCAGCCGACGCGAGCGCGCGGCGCAAAAAAGGGAGGGATGGGAGAGCTGCCTCCATTCTCTTTAACGCTGCTGGTAACTTATCGCTCGTAGACACAGTATTTCTCTGTGGGCTCTTTGAAAGCATTTTCTCATTAAAAAATTAAAGAACGACGAGCTCTTCTGAAAAGCGCGTCGCCAGCCGCGCGCTGCGTCGGTAAGTGCTCCGTGGCTCCCAGATGCGCCCAATATTACGTTTAATGATATTAACTTCTTACTTAATGGGCCGCCGCGCTTTCGAGCTTCGATTCGAGGTGCCAACGCCCGCAGCAGCTACACCGCGAATATACGCGCCCACGGAAAAGTATATATCCCCCGAGTGTAATTTGCGCTTCATTGGACAGAGATAGGGAAAAGCCAACCAGACGAGCCGCGAGTTTTCCTTTTCATCCCAACGCACAGCCTCCCAATCACTCCTTCGACTAAAAACTTAGCTCCTAAGCATGACTACCGCTCGTTAATTAATTGCTCTTAATGCTTGCCGATTAGTTGCATAAGACGTCAACATTATACGATAAATAAGACACCGAACGCTTCACGGCCTCTCTTGCTTCGCCTTAAATAATTTATAATTAAACTCCAATGACTTAGCTGAATCGAGCGCGTTCGAGTTTTTAACTCCCCTTCCACTCTGCTACATCGCCAAGTCTACTGAATAATTTATGACGATGCACACACAGCCTCCCTACGTATACTCGCGCGCCAGTAGTTAATGCAAGGTCAATGCTATGCCTCCGGAGCGTTCCAGCTGAAGAAGAAAAACCCCAGCGATGACGCGCTTTGCTGTATAAATAATTGATCACCCAGTATAGCAACGAATACGGATGGACGATCACGCAGTCCTACGAAATTCTTATCTGGAAATTCCTGCTCTGCTTTGCCTTGCTTCGTCAGATCGCTAAATGCCGCCGATTACTTTTGTGTTGTAGATTACGAGACGAGCGGGGCGAAAACGAAAGGGCACTTGCGTTGGATCACAAGCAGAGGGATCATAGCTCGCACAATGGTAAGTTTACGCCAAATTTGCAACGGTCGCAGCGTACGACTCACCCCGGACATTCGCCATGATTCAATCTCGGTTCTCTTTCAACGAGTAAACTTTCCGACGATTAGCAAACTACTTTGTTATTCTTCTTTCCTCCTTCGAGCTCGATTCGACCGGGTCGCCGGGGAACATTTTAATCTGGATCGCTAAAACCCTTTCGGCTCGAATCACACGGACTTTTGGCCGTCTCCCCAACGCGCGCACAGTGTTCCGCGTCGCGAGCGCAATTCCGGCGAATAAATCGGCAACTCGGGAAACGGAAACCAACAAGCCCGTGGCTTTGGCGCGCGAAAACGGAGAAATGCGCGATGGGGATGAGGGGCCGGGGGTACGAGAGCCTAGCCAAACAGAATCCATCCACGTCAGGATTAAAATGCTCGGGTATCCAATACTGACCGCGCGCTCGCGCCAGCGCGCCAGTCACAGAGAAAGACAAATTAGGGAGAGTGCAAGTCAACGCTATACGCGGTTCAATGCTCGATGATCTATCGTTCGCTTGTGTATTTTATTTCGTTCGTTTGTTTATGTGCGTGGAGGATCACTCTCGTCAAAATTATTCGACGGTTTTACCCTTGGCTCTTTTCATTTGGAAATAACTCTAACTAGGACAATGTTATCCTCTTGGATTGCTAATAAATGTTTGTTGCTAGACGAAAACAGGAGGTGGAATCTATAATTTAGAAAAACCTCCACACACGAATTCGTCCTAGCAACTGAGTCTTTATTTGGTCAACGTTTCAGGAAAGTCAGTCAAAATTTACCGATGAGAAACTCATTCAAGCTCAAATTCATCCTGCATCTGAGAAATGTCCACTTATGTTTCACCCTAATTATTACTAAGTCTGTATTAATATTAATGAAAAGTGAAACGACTATTCAGGAAGATTTGTATATTATTCGTACCTATATACCCTCCTAGTGCTCAAAGAAACCGTTATTCAAAATTTCACAGAGAAAATTATCCATCTCTCTGATAAACGATTTCATAATGAAAATTTATCTACCATTGAAAAACTATTTACAGAACATCCTTTCCAGTATATAAATAAAAATAACAAATACTAACTGTTTCAGTATACACATGGCATTAGAAATCTTGATAATTCCAATACTAGTAACAGAATTAAAAAAAGGTTTACAGTGGTTCCATATATCAAACATTTGATTACTAAACTCAACAATATTTTATTCAATACATGTTATAATCTAATAATACATCAATCCACACGTAAATTTACTTCATTGTATTGGAAAAGACAGGGTTGACAAAAAAGAAAAGACTGGACTGACTGTAACAATTGTAAAAAATCGTAGATAAATTTAGTGTACGCAGTAATGATATACACTCAGCTGTAGCAGAATATGCAATTATTCTATTAATGTTGATATTACAATTTTAGACTTTGAAAAATCAAAGAAAAAGCGTAAATTTTTCTGAAATAATACATATTTGCTACACACAAAATAATATGAATAGGCAGGCCGATACAATGAAACTTGAGAATTTTATAACTCTTGGCGATATCAGATTATCTCTGAATAAGGTAAATAATATAGTCTCTATCATGTCTCGGTAACTAATTTGATGTATAACATATTTAATACACTTTTATATAATTTTAGATTCCTTTCTCCTTTTTTACTGTAACAAAGTGCATTTTTGGCTTTACATTAAGTAAGCCTTTTGACTTATTGAGGGAGAAACAAATAATTTTTATAAATGATTGGCTTTAGTCCTAATGACGAGGATTCTGGAAATCCCTGAAGCGTTGACCAAATAAAGACACAATTGCTACGACGAATCCGTGTATGGTGATTTTTTAAAACTGGATCCTGTAGTAACGGAATGATTTTTGCTATGTTGATCAATGAGACATTTTATGCAAAATTGATTATCAGTTGACGAGCTGAGTCCTAATCGAATTAATTAGAATAAGGTGGCGGGGAACGAAGTTCAGAAAAAGTAAGTATAGAGGCTGAATAACTGGCGCGAGCGGGCGGGGGCAGAGATTAGCGTACGAGCAAAAAGGATGAGTCTGAGCAAAAGGGCGAAGTTGAATGGGGAGCGTGGATCGTACGGTCAAATAAGATCCATCATCTTGTCAAGGCGAACTCTATACTATCTCTCTTTTGGCCGCGTCTCTAGCACGACTTATCTACACCTCGCGATTTTTCCGTGACTTTTCTCAGTCACGAGCAACTGCTAAAGCCTAGTTTCCCTTTTGTTTTCTAGGCTCTTCAAATGGTCACAGTCCAGTATTGAATTTGTCAAAGACGGCAGGCAGTGGTAGCGTCGGCGAGCACTCCGGAAGCGAGGCTGGCGCGTCGCATCATTCGCAAGACGACGAGGAAGAGATTATGGACAATCTATCCGAGGATCTCGAGGACGATCACGAGAAGGATGAAGGTCGGTGCCTGACTGTTCTTTTCATTCTCACGATGACAGTCAAATGTGTGATTTATCGTGCTGTCGTCTGTTCGCACTTGGCAACTGACGTGATCGCCGGTCTCACGGTCTCGTTACAGTTCATCCAATTGTCACGACAATGTGACGTATTTTTTCAAGCTATATCGTTAAAAGTACCATTACCGAAAGTTTGTCCAATTTCAATAAAATTTACAAGTTAAACGAACGTAAATTTTCGAATGAATAGTTTTGATTATTTCACTACAAATCGAGTGTACATCATCACACCGACAACTTCAATCTGATACTTTAATAAAGCAATTAAGGCGAGAACAACAGGCAAAAGTAATACTAAAAGTTTCAGTCAAGAAATACATGCATCATCGTAATAACCGCACAGCATCTTGCTCTCTATCGTGTTTTAATTGCCTGGAAGGTCATTAGACTGATCCATGAGAAATCGCCACCCAAAAAGTTCAACCAATAACATAATGCCAATAATGAGCTTGATAATTAGACCAGTTTTCTTCTTCTTCTTCTTCTTATTGGGACCTGCGCGTAAAGAAGATCGTTGATTGGTAATCTCACGCATGCGTGCGCGTAGAAAATATACCGATATATAAACGGGACGCACGGGCCTCTGACCCGCTTACTCATCGATCATCTTTGCCACTGCTTTGCTCTCGTTTCTCGCGCGGTCGGTCCTCCTTGTTACAACGCCATCGTGTCATCGATAGCGATCGTCGTCATTTCTGCGCGCGAGCAGGTGACAGTTGGAGATCGAACGACATGATCGTCTCTCTCTCTCTCTTGTATTTGCATTAAAGTAAAAAGTGCCTAGATTGAGAACACGAGAAAGAACGTTTGACAGGCAAGCGATAGTGTTTTGAGTATTTAGTTACGTTTTGATGTATAAGGAACGATAAACGCCGACGTCTAGTTCAATTGAATTTTGAACCGACTTTTGAGTGTTTCGCGTTAATACATGCTCCGCGCAAGAGAGTGAGAGAGAGAGAGAGAGAGAGAGAGAGAGAGAGAGAGAGAGAGAGAGAGAGTGAATCGGAAGAATAAAAGCTTTCCGCGGCAATTTAGATAAACCGGGAGTGCGAGCATTTGGCTAAAATGGACAGCAAAGTTCACTCTGACGAAAGCGCATTATAGGATCGCTGAAGCCTATCGAGAGCGTTAAATTTCAGGGTGGCACGACAACAAAGGGGGCCAAGCGTAGAAAACTTTGCGGGGCCTCTCCGTTATCTAAAAGGCAGCTAGCGTTGCCAATAGAAATCGGCAATACACTTGGACTCGTATACTTTCTCTCTCTCATTAAATCAGAACGGCATTCCGTGAGCGTGTAGCGCGTAGACTCCCACGGATAACTCTCTCTTTCTTTCTCTGGTATTCTCGCATATAGCGACACGCTGCGCGACACGAGCCAACATACGGCCCACAGGGAGCTCCCTGTGTTTTTTCGAGCCATTGCAGCCGACGCTCACTCGCGGCCAAATTTATTTGCCGCCAGTTTCGGTACTTTTTTTTTACGACTGCTCAACTTTCTCGGGCACGGGCGCTTTGTCTTTGGCCTTTACACGTCCGCTTGGGCGTCGCGCCGATAAAATATACCTCACTTATCAAACTCCAAAATGCCGATCTGCTGTGTAATTGTTGGCGTTTGTACTCGCAAAATATTTTTTGCGCACTGCTGAAACCGTCATAAATTGCGCATCGCGCGCTTATTTTACTTTGCGCATTATCTCGCGAGTCAGTTTATAGCTGAGCAATCGTGAGTAGGAAATTGACAGAAAACAACGGGAAGTTTGAGCGCGGCTATCTGGCGCAATAATTCACATATAGAAGGCATTAAACGCGCGGTGTGCACGTAAAACGTCGTCGTCGCAGAAGTGCAACGTGCGCCTGACGGCAACCAGTTTTGCCTTTTTCCCCGTATAATCCGCATATATATCTCGAGCTTTGCTTCGACATCTTTGACGTCGCCGCGAACACGCCGATTTGAGGACCTCCCCGGGGGCGAATTATGCCTCTGCTCGTATAAGTATGTTACGTGTCCGTGCGCGCGCGCGCGTGTGAGTGTGCGCCTGTGTGTGGGTTTGGCTAAGTGGCTCGCGCCGGCTGCTTTACGGCCGCAGATAGGTGCTTTATTGGATCGTCTTTTAATTATCAGCGCCTGCTCACCTACAACGAAACGGCATTGCTCGCAGACTTATTGCCGGGCGGCGTTCGCTTGCCCGCGAGACAGAGAAAGAACGAGAGAGGCAGAGAGAGAGAGACCGATTTCGCTTCAGAAAACCGACAGATAAGCCAAAGCGTGCCAGAGCTGGCGCCCACCGCGAGTCTATTATCGCGCCTTCCATTACAATTATCGCCGACAATAAACCTCCTTTCCGTATAACCGCAAAGAGCCCGATATTATTTATCCGTGCGAGCTTTGAGTTGCACGCGCTTTGCTCGAATTTCCATCGTTTCTTTTTCGGCTTGCGCGATAGTGTATACATTGCGAATAATTTATGCAAAAAGGATTTTTCGAGACGTGTACAACGATTCTCGGTTGACTTATGAGTTTGCGTGCCTGGAAGTAGTAAGCGATCGGTCCGCTAAAAATCTACTTGTTGCCCACTATCGATTTGCTTGCGTTGCAACTCCGATTGGTCATCGCTTAATGCGCACTCTCGTCAGAGATGATAAGCGCCGTGAGTTTGCACTCGTGAATTTACAGGATGCGCAACGCTTTCGGAAAGTGTCGCTTGAAACGCTTGAAACGCTTGAAATTGCTGTGTTCGCAGAAATGTCGGACGTGCCGGAGAACTTGCCGCTGGCGGCGCCCGGACCGGACAGCCCGCAGGCTCTCAACTACTCGCAGATCGCCTCCGCCGCGGCGGCGGTGGCAGTTTCACAGACGAGCTCCGGCAACGGAGTCGGCGGCGGTGGCGGCGGCGGCGGCGGCGGCGGCGGTGGCAGCAATGGTACGGGTGGCGCTGTCACCCCGGATCCGGCCTCGGTCTCCAGTACCGAGACCCTGCTGAGGAATATTCAGGGTTTGCTGAAGGTCGCCGCCGACAACGCGCGCCAGCAGGAGAAGCAAATCAACTACGAGAAAGGTCAGTGGCAGGGCTTTCTTAAGACACTCGAGGCCGCTCTCCACAATTTCATTATCTACCAACTCTCGCAGAATCACATTAGGAGGCATTAGAGACCCCGAGCGCTCGCTTCTTTTTCCGATATGAGCCTTCTTTTTTTATTATCTTCTCGGTCGCGCGCGCCTCCTCGCAATCCGATGCCCACGAGTGCATCGCTGTTCGCACATTCAATTTTTTGTATATAACGTTCACGATCATTCGAGCTTCATATTTATTCCGAGGATATTTAGCATCATACAATACGACGACTGATGTAGCATTCGCAAGTGTAGCTCGCGAATATAATAATTAATGATTTGACTCGTTGCCAAGATTTTATTTTCTAACTGGGATAACTTTCAACGCTGTACATATTTTTACGTAATCTCGCCTAAATATAACTCAAACCTTTTATTATCATCTTGTTTCCTTCACTCTTTACGCACTTATTCCATTTTTTCTTTTCCGCGGCGTGTTGTGATTACTTGTATTTATAGATAATGAACAAAAAGATTGGATAATTTTTCTATTAAAAGATGGATAGTTCGAACAATCAAACTTCTAATAGGGATTTCCAATTTTGTAATATATTTAGCATTAATCATTGACGTTTACTGCGATATCCAGAACAAAAATTTGTAAATACACTGAGAAATAAGTTTTCACAAAACTTGTAACGTAGCTCTACTCAATATTAATTGATATATATTTATGTATAGACTGTTATCTTTAAAATTGATTTTATATCGCTAAAATGTAATTGTATGAAAATCATTTGTCAGTGTAATCGAAATATAACAGATCCCCAATCATAGGGTGAAATTGTGATCGAACTCGTAAAAATTCGTAAAACTTGATGCTACTTCCAAAAATTTTTGTAAATTATTATATATATCTGCCTTCGGTAGTATCAAAGCGTCAGATACAAGAGATACAGAAATAATTGCTACTTCGATTGAAAAGTTTCTGCGTTGATTATTTCTTTGCCAAGATCTTATTTGAAATGTAAGTTTTTTGTTTTCTAGTACAAAATCATTTCAAGATTCTTAAGTTATTTTATTAAAGCCAATTTCGTACTTAATAAGTGTGACTAATAAGATTATTTATATACAAAAAAATTTCGGAGGGTATAAAACTACGATGAGTGTTAGACAAATAAAAGGAATCCTTTAGTGGGATGAATTGAAGCGTAATAATCGTACAATATAATAGACCGATTAACCACCATTCGTATTTATTAGTGATTTCAATATAACGAAACGACACTAATATTTGTAGTTTTATTAGCAGAATTCACATCATTCTATTAAGTAAATATGGTGTTAAAAGCTTGTATTAGATTCGTATAAAAAACAACTTATATAGTATTACATAGTATTATTATACATCGTATATGAGCGTAATATCTTAATGTCAAAAATTATGATGAAAAAAAATGAGTTTGAAATAAAAATAAATTGCAAAGCATAACATGATCTGATAATATGCTCAAGCAAATGCAGATGCAGCGAATGCAGCTTTTTTATTTATTGATTTTCCTGTACTTCTTATTTTTTATATTCAACAGTAATTATCGATCAAGTTGGTCTGCAAGTGCTCGATCATATCAGTTTTTGATTTAAATCTTTTCCAAATTTATTATCACACCAATTGGCTATACTTTGATCAAGGGAATTTCTTGTCATCGTGTTCGTCATCAGTATAACTTCTCTTTTTCGTAATATTTTTCTACATTTTTATTTTTCTTGTTTTCTTTCACTTTTGTAATTCAATTTATTGACGAACCGCGTTTACATAACATTATCAACTATACTAATAGTCATTATAAATCTTTTTGAATGTTCCAAATTTTTCGTGACACTAATGGATGAATCTGCTGCTGTACCTATCGAACAAAATATGCAATGAATTATATATTTGCATGTTAAAAAGGTAAGAATTTAAAAAAATATCGTTGCAGACAACTGCCATTGCGATTATTCTATCAAAATGTTGCTTTCCTAAATGAACTTGATATAAAAAATATTTATGGTATGAAGGGATGACGAATTTTTTCTCACATGTGATAAAATGTTTACATCTAAATATATCTTTAACCATTTTTTATAGCATTTAAAAAATACACATTGTAATTATAAAAATACGATCGATACCGCAGCAGATATTCGTAAGCGAGCGATTTTTAAATATTAATAAGCGTCTCGTATCTAGAAATCTAGAAATAATATTGAATGAAAAATCATGTAAACTATAAAATAAGAGAAGATTAGGTATTTAAAGATTTTATTTGCACAAATGTAAAACTCAACGTAAAATAGTGTTCGTAAACATGAGGTCTCTCGTGTGCGTAACGAATACGTGCATCTTATAAATTATTTTGAAACGTTAGCTCTGAGCTGCCTACCGCCCATTAGTCGGTGGCAAGTGTCACTTTGCTTCTCTCTAATTCGCGTTTGGGCGCACCATTTTACTTCTGTGTTTCCTCTGCCCCCTTCACTTCCATGCAATTATTTCAACAATTGCTACGTTCGCGATTTATGAGGTCGTTGCCTTCCATCGTTGCCATCTTCGAATTCGCTGAAACGCACGCGAAAGGTTTGAAAAACCATATAAGGTTTGAAATTGGAGTTCGCGTGCGGAAATTTCAATCGTTACAATTGAAAATTCGAAGTATTGAAGTTTGCAGCACTGAAAGGTAGCACAAAATGTCAGCCGCATTCTCGTGGGGTACTAGATTAAACGTAAGATCAACGGCTTTTGACGGAAGACCATAGCAGTGGAGGGATGGATCTGAAGAATAAGACGATCGTCGGCATTATAAAGGCGCGCGCGCGCGAGATAGAGACGAGGGCTTGCGATTTAATACTCGAGCGAGCCCGCAGCTCGTTTCACACCAGATGCTTTTACATACACGGCCAGGTCTCGTACACATCGCGCATATCCATAGACGCGCGCTGTATATCGCGTAACGCGCGAGCTCGCTGCGCTCCCTTTTGCCCCAACGACAAGCGCGCAGCTTCTTATTCATCGTCTCTTCCAGCGACGTGCATTACTGATATTATTAGTCATTGTCCGACTGGCTTTTCGACTTACCTTCTTTTCCTTTCGCATAGCCTACGGCGAAATGATATCGTGCCGATTTTTGTACTCTTCCAGCGTGCAAACTCTCTTATTGCCTTGCTCGCTCTGCGCGAGGTTTCGATGCACGGCTTCACGGCAGATTGCCATTCACCGACGATAAGTCCGTCGCGTCTGGCTTCTTTCGCGGGCGAGAGTTTTCGAGGCTCGCCGCCGTCCAAGATTTCTTATGAATTGTCGTGTCATCCGACACATTGCTGTTTCTGAAAAAACGGTCGACGAACCGAGGCAGAGAGACGTATCAAAGTTGCAGGGGGCATTGGCCGCGCGTTAAGTGCAGCCGCAGGAATCAATGGGTAGATAGGAAAATCGGCGCGGCAGTAACCCTGTACGGTAAGGTAAAAAGGCGCAGCTTAACCGGCCACAGGGAATACCCAGCACTTTGCCGCGCGCCTGTATCCTCTTCATTTCCACTTAGCTGTCGCGTAAATGTCTAGCGAAAAGGAAGGATCGCGGGAGAGAGGGTTGAGGGCATTTATTTGTCCGCATTACAACGCGCGCGACGCACCGTATACGGTGTCGGGTTTCGCAAATAGGCTAATATCCAGGCGCAGAAGAGAGGCGCAGAAGAGAGGCGCGGAAAAGGCCCAGAGCGCGGGCACGAGCACGGGGCGCAGATTACAAAGCCCTCGGAATTTCCACGAGTAATACCCTGGGCGATGTGCTCGACCTCGCGCGCGCGCGCATAATACTCATCCTCGCAGCTCGGCGTTGCACGGCAAGCGGGATAAAACTCCACGGGCGAAACGCAATAATTGACCTGGCCAAGGACGCGCAATTAAGATGCGCGCGTGCATGCGACTAATTAAAATAAGAGAGGGCGAACGAAAGGAAAACGAGGCAGCGCGTCGACAATGACTGGAGAGAGCGTTCGCGGGCAATCTCGGCTAACAGACCAAAAGAAAGAGAGGAAAGGCAAAGCCAGAGGCTCCTTATACTCGTATACTCGCGGACGCGCGCGCGTTCGCTCGGCCGAGTAAGTTAACTTGTATTAAGAACGCACAGGAGCCGCAATCTCCATCTGGCGCGGCGGCGGCGGCGACGGCGGCGGCGGCGGCGGCGATCGGGACAATATGAGAGTATACGTCTTTGTGTGTGTGTGTGTGCGTGGAGGAGGAGGCTGTGTGCGCGCGCGCGCGCTATCTGTGATCAGGCGATTCGATAACAGTATTGTGCATGCGCCAGCGCAGCAGCACACGAGCCAACACACAGCGCCTCGATTGAGTTGTAGGCCAGAGTGCAGGATCTTATGTAGATTCCTTGTAGATCGTGCACCCGATTCGATCGCGATCTCTCCCTCTCCGCTCGGCTTAATTAAAATCGTAAGGGGCTCTCCCTCCTCCTTATAATACGTGCGCGCTCGTTCTATCTACCTGCTACAGATTTTTGCTTTTCTTCCTGGCTACCGTGCAGCCGCTGCCGCTGCCGCTGCCGCTGCCGCTGCCGCCAGACTGCAGGATCGGGGAGAAAAATTAACGGGCAGTCGAATCTGGGAGGTTCCAAGCACTGAAATCTCGTTATACGTCCCGTGTGTATTGTTCCCCGCGCCCATCGGCATGCCAGCTCTCTGCTCCTTTTATTTCAATTAGCTGAAAAGAGCCAACTTCGATACCAACTCAGTCGCCAGAGAGCGCGCCTCTTTTTCTTCTTTGGGCTTCCTTGAACTCGATCGCGATATTGATAAAGGCGCACGAGAAATACACCTTTGTAATGGCTGACTGGTTGACTGGCTCTGGTTTGTTCCATTGATTCGTATAACTTAATTCAGCTGCGACCACTTGTCCGCGACGCAAAACGACACATCTTCGCGGAGACATACGCCCTAGGGTAATTCCTTTAAATTC